TTATTTCTTCAAACTTTTCGGCTTTTTATTTTCTTTACTTTTACAATTTTTTATTTTCTTTTTTTTCAATCTGAAATTTTTCGGTTTTCAATGCTTCGATTTGCCAACTTTTGATTTTTCAATTTCCCTATTTTTCAAATTTTTCGTTTCTTGTTGTTTAATTCGTTTCGGTTTGCTATTTTCTTTATTTTTTCAATTTTTTTATTTTTCATGTGCCGATTTTATTTTTTTTCAAATTTAATTTGTTCAATTTTCTGTTTCCTGAACTTTTCGATTTGCAATTTCACCAGTAATTTTTATTATTTTTTTGTGAATTTTTCAATTTTTGCATTTTTGAACTTTTGGTTTTTGAATCTTTCGTTCTTTCAATTTTAGATTTTTCAGTTCCTGGATTTTTCAATTTTCCGTTTCTTCTTATTTATTTATTATCTTTAATCTGAATGTTTAATCTTTATTGATCATTCTACAGGTAAAAACCCAGTTACAGAGATCAATGTATACAATATAAAGTACAATAATTCAATAAAATTATTAACTATATCTTATCATTAATTATAATAAAAAAAAACACTTCAATTTTACGATTTTATAATTTTTCTATTTCTCAATTACTGGATTTTAAAACTAGTTTTTCATTTATTCGACTTTTCGAGTTTTCAAAGTTCCAATTTTATAATTTTTTGCTTTTTCAATATTTCAGTTTTTTGTTTCCTCCAATTCACGACATAAATTTTCTATTAGTTTATACTAAATCTTTTTTAACTATATATATATAAAAAAAAATCCATAACCTTTAACCCAAAAAGTTCGAGTTTTAATTTTAAAATTTTTCACTTTTTCGATTTTTTTTAACTTTTGAATGTTTCAGTTATTGGATTTTTTAATTTTTCGGTTTGGAATTTCACCAGTTTTTAATTTTTAATTTTTCTATTTTTCCATTTTTCGATTTGCAATTTTTTCGTTTCGGTTTTTTATTTTCTTTACTTTTACAACTTTTTATTTTTCATGGGCCGATTTAATTTTGTGTTTTTGAATTTCCATTTTTTCAATTTTTCGATTTGCAATTTCACCAGTTTTCAATTTTTAACTTTTCAGCTTTTTATTTTCTATATTTTTTCAATTTTTCGGTTTTTCAATGTTCTGAATTAATAATTTTTCTGTTTTTTTCAATGTCAAATATTTCAATTTTTTGGTTTCTCAATTTTAGATTTTTCAGTTTCTCGATTTTTTAATTTTTCGTTTCTTGTTATTTATTTCGTTTCGGTTTGTTATTTTATTTATTTTTATGATTCTTTGATTTTTCATGTGCTCATTTAATTTTTTTGCTTTTTTTTCATTTTTCCGTAGCCTGAATTTTTAATTTGCAATTTCAGCAGTTTTCAATTTTTCATTTAGTCGATTTTTCGGTTTTTCAATGGTCTGATTTTGTAATTTTTCTTTTTTTGTCAATATGAATTTTAAAATTTTTGGATTTTTCAATTTTCCGGATTTCAATTTTTTGATGTACCAACTTTTGATTTTTGAATCCTTTGTTTTCTCAATTTTTCGTTTCTTGTTTATTTCGTCTCGGTTTGTTATCTTCTTTATTTATACAATTTTTTGATTTTTCGTGTGCCGATTTTATCTTTTTTTGATTTTTCAATTTTAAATTCCTGTTTCCTGAATTTTTCGATTTGAAATTTCACCAGTTTTCAATTTTAAATTTTTCTATTTTTTCATTTTTCATTTCTTCAATTTTTCGATTTGCAATTTTTTCGTTTCGGCGTTTTATTTTCTTTACTTTTACAACTTTTTTATTTTTCATGGGCCGATTTAATTTTGTCTGTTTTTGAATTTCAATTTTTTCAATTATTCGATTTGCAATTTCACCAGTTTTCAATTTTTAATTTTTCAGTTTTTTATTTTCTATATTTTTTAAATTTTTCGGTTTTTCAATGTTTGATTTAATAATTTTTCTGTTTTTTTTTAATGTCAAATATTTCAATTTTTCGGTTTCTCAATTTTAGATTTTTCAATTTCTTGTTATTTATTTCGTTTCGGTTTATTATTTTCTTTATTTTTATGATTTTTTGATTTTCATGTGCCGATTTAATTTTTTTTGATTTTTTTTCAATTTTCCGTAGCCTGAATTTTTTAATTTGCAATTTCAGCAGTTTTCATATTTCTTCGATTTTGCAATTTGCAAGTTTTCATTTCAGTTTTTTATTTTTTTTATTTTTTCAATGGTCTGATTTTATAATTTTTCTTTTTTTTTCAATATGAATTTTAAAATTTTTGGATTTTGCAATATTTCGGTTTTCAATTTTTGATTTGCCAACTTTTGATCTTTGAATCTTTCGTTTTCTCAATTTTACATTTTTCAGTTTCTCGATTTTTCAGTATTTCGTCTCGGTTTGTTATCTTGTTTATTTTTACAATTTTTTGATTTTTCTTGTGACGATTTTATCTTTTTTTGTTTTTTCAATTTAAAATTTTTCTTTCCTAAATTTTTCGATTTGAAATTTCACCAGTTTTCAATTTGTAATTTTTCAATTTTTCATTTCTTCGACTTTTCGATTTGCAATTTTTCGTTTGGGTTTTTTTATTCTCTTTATTTTAAAATTTTTTCGGTTTTTCAACGTTCTGATTTTATAATTTTCTTAATTTTCAATGTGAAATTTTTTAATTTTTGTATTTTTCAACTTTTGTTTTTTGAATCTTTCGTTTTTTCAATTTTTGATTTTTCAGTTTTTCGATTTTTCAATTTCTCGTTTCTTCTTATTTATTATAATTATATCTTATCATTAATTATAATAAAAATAAATCACTTTTCAATTTTACGATTTTAGAATGTTTCCATTTCTCAATTATTGGATTCATTTATTCGACTTTTCGAGTTTTCAAAGTTCCAACTTTATAATTTTTTGTTTTTTAAATTTTTTGATTTTTGACTTTTTTTTCTTTCGAATTTACGTACATAAATTTACTATTAGTTTGCATTAAATTTTTTTAATTATAATAAAAAAACAAAAATCATAACCTTTAAACCAAAAAGTTCGAGTTTTCATTTTTAAATTTTTTATTTTTTCGATTTTCCAACTTTTGGATGTTTCAATTATTAGAGTTTTAATTTTTCGGTTTGTAATTTCACGAGTTTTCAATTTTTCGTTTCGGTTTTTTATTTTTCGTATTTTTCAACTTTTCGGTTTTTCAATGGTCTGATTTTTTCTTAATGCGCAATTTGTTACTTTTTGGATTTTTCAATCTTGCTTTTCTTCAATTTTTAATTCTGTAATTTAAAAAAAAATTCTCTTTTACAATTTTAGGATTTTAGAATTTTTCAATTATTGGATTTTAAAACTTTTTCCTTTATTTGATTTTTCAATGTTTTGATTAATTTTTCAATTTCTCGAACACTGAAATATTGAAAAATTGACAAAGTAAATATAATTTTTTAGTTTTTCAATGTTACAGTTTTTCTTCTTTCCAATTTTTTTGACTCATTTTTTTTTCGATTTTTAACTTTCTCGATTTTTAATTTTTTAAAGTTTCAATTTTTTGTTGCTTCAGTTATTTGATTTGGAATTTTTCAATGTTCCACTTTTTCGATTTTGCATTTTTTGAATAAGAAAATGGGAAAATTATAACATCAAAAAAACAAAAATGAAAAAAGGAATAAGTATAAAATGAAAACTTTCAAAAATTTAAAAATTGAAAATCAAGAACTTGAACAACTGAAGAAATGAAAATAAAAAATTGTAAAAAATAAAAATTGAGAAAGTTAAAAACGATACAACTAAATGTTGTAAAATCGAAATACTGAAAATTAACGAAATCGAAAAATTGGATAATTCAAAATACGAAAATTGCAAAATTGCAAAGTTGAATAAACGAAAAATTAGGAAATCGAAAAAAATATTGAAAAAACAAAAATTTGTGATATAAAATCGAGAAAACCAAAATGAAATATCAAGAACTGGGAAAACTGAGGAAACGAAAAATTGAAAAACTGAAAAATTAAAGGTTGGGAAATTGAAAAAGTTGGAAAATTGCAAATCGAAAAATTGAGAAAAGAACTATGAAACCGAAACACTGAAAAATGAAAGAAAATGAAAAAACGAAAAATTCTGACATCAAAAAATTGGTGGAAGGTAAATAAATCCAGATTTTTCGAAAAATTATAAGATTTGATTTTGCGAATTTAATTTTTTTATGATAGCCCTTATAAATAAAAATTAAAATATGTAGGTATCTAATGTTAAAGTAGTTAAATATACGGAAACGTGCTACGCGTTTGTTTCTAGTGAGTTTTTCCACTACAAAGTTTTATGATGACGTCATCAACATTTTTGCAGTGACACATCAACTTGACTGGATGCAGTGTAATACTAAAAATAAATGTACTGTATTTCCAAGCGAGTGGTTCTTCATTTAATCAATAAATTAAATTGTCCTATTCATTTTTTCTAGTCATCCTGTATAAGTAATTTTAACTGTGATAAACCACGCGTACAGTTATAATGTTTTTCATATTTCAGAGAGGATTAGGCAAAATATTGACATTACGTCATCAATGTTTTTGGGGATGGAAAATGGATTTTTTTTTTGATTTAAAATGTTAAAAATTTTTGATTTTTTTTTCCAAAAATCTGGATGACTAGGGTTAAGACTCAACACGGATTCATACGTCAAAAGTACAGGAGTATCTTATTTTATAAAATAAAAAAATATATAAATTTTGGAGATGACAATGACAGACAGACAGACATGAAACGTCGAGAAAACGCGAAAGTGGCGAGTCGCCCGATGGACTCAATTACTATACTTCCTTAGTTTACGCTCAGGGAGTAAAAAGGATGTAACAGATTACCAAAACAGAAACGCCCCAGAAATGTTTCATAGAACAATCATATTAAGCCGGTGAAAGCAAGAAGCGCATCTCGGTGACCCGCTTAAGCCGTGCCCTTATTAGCGTTTATGTAACACATAGCCCGACTCATTTACTTCTTATTCGCATTTACCTGCCCTTCGAGGTTCTCCACTTGCTTTTTCCTCTGGTGCATCTGGTTAAGGTACTTCCTCATGCCTTTCCGCTCCGCCTCCAAGGCCTCCTTCAGCTGGTCGTTCTGTCAAGCAAGCAACAAACAAGCGTTTAACACAACAATAAGGAAACCAGTAGTGAAAGCATGCGTCGTTCATTAACAAAAATTGTTTAATTGCTCCGGTGAAGATTTTTTTTGCTCACCTCTCTTTCTAAGCTTTCTTTTTCGTATTTCATTCGCGTCATGTGATGAAACACTTCCTGGCGCGCCCTTTCCAGTTTCCTACGTGTGTGTTCCGATTCTCTCGCTTGTTCGGTCAGCTGGGATGAAAAAAAATATTATTTAATTAAACCATAATGGATTAATGGTGTTGTTGACGGCTTACCAGCCTGTAGGCGGCTTCTCTTTCCTTTTCGATCGCTAGTTTTTGTTGATGGTATTTCTCCTTTTCGGCTTTCAACTGCAAGAGATCAGATCGATTAACGATATTCAAATTTATCAGGAAAATGAAAGTTTTTACGGAATGCCTGCAGCGGGTTGCGACTTTTAGGTCATCAATGTCATTGCAAGGAGGTCGAGGAGGTATTCTGGATTTTTTGAATATTTTATCCGCGTGTGTAGTGATGTTGTCATGTTTAGAGTAGAAAGATTATCAATATCAGTGCGTCATTATTTACGCAATGTGGATTTTTCCTTAAGAGTTTCCTCGTGTGACTTTTAGAATTCGTTCAAATTTTTATATAACATGATATAAAATATACAAAAGTTTTCAAGTTTTTACACTTCAAAAAGTTCGTATTTCAGTTAATTTAAATTTCAGAAACCCTAAATATTAACGCTCTGAGGCAACACGCCGTCCGAGTGTGTGGAACTTACACGTCAAATTATTATTAAGGCTGTTGCTACGCTGAAATGGACAAAAATAAACCCGGTCGAAGTCCCGTAAGAACCAATGGTAAAATGCTTTGGCGTGTCCACATACAAATTAAATGTTCCGATAAGAACAGGATTTTTTTCACGATTAATACGAGCAAAAATTCTAGACATATTGTTGCAATCAATTTAAATTTCGCGCAAAACCGTATTTCAAAATTAAATAAGAAATTCAATAACTTGGCAATCACCAATGTTTTACGGCCTTCTAGTTAGATTGGTAGTTATCAAATGTTGGTAACGCAGGTAGTATTCAAAAATGAATCGCATTCGACGCCACGGTCCCCTCAGAGCGAAATTCCGGTACCATCACTTTAATAATGTTTTTCTAATCTAAAATTTGTAAAAGTTTGACTACTTCCTAAATACGTAATTTCTGTTTTATTGTTTGTAAATTCGCAACTCCAATACAATTTAGCAAGTCATGTAAATATAAATATATATTCACATAAAAACACTATCACTACTTTTGCAATCTTTTTGCCGAAATTATAAAGTCAAATTTAAAGATTATCAGCACCTATTTTTAGAGTGTTCGAATTATTTGCATTTTCTGGTTCTTGAATTTCCAGTTTTTAGCCAACAGTTATTATTCACTATTCAGTAAACCTGTTTTTATAATTTTCACATTATTTGGAATTAAGACTTCTCAAAAAAATACAGCTTTTTTTTGCAGATGGTTGTAGGTTTGTGATAGCTATCGTCCTTTACATGCATAAATAATTGTGTTAAACTTATTTTATCAGGTACTAGCCCCGCCCGCCCACCCTCTCTTTTCTTAGAGGGTATGTCATTTGCCAAAATCACTCTTATCTCAGCAGGTACTAGCCCCCGCCCACCCGCCCTCGCTTTGTTTAGAAGGTATGTCATTTGCCAAAATCACTCTTATCTCAGCAGGTACCAGCCCCGCCCACCCACCCTCGCTTTTTTTAGAGGGTATGTCATTTGCCAAAATCAGTTTTATCTTAGCAAGTACTGATGACGAACTTTTACAAAAAAAATGACCAAAATTTGGAAACATTACGAGCTTACTTATAGGCGGGAATTTTAAACACCTTCTCTAGTTTTTTTTTGGAACGATTAATGATTATTGGTTGATATGGTTATTGTATATTTTTTTATGATTTTTCTATTTATCGATTTTTGATTTTCCAATTGCTCGATATTTAATTTATCAATTGTTCGATTTTTAATGCTACAGTTTTTCGACATTAAAATTTTGACGATTCTATAAATTTTCGATTTAACAATTTTTAGATTTTCCAATTTTTCGATTGAGTAGTTTTTTTCGATTTTCAAGTTGCTCTATTTTTAGTTTTTCAATGTTTCAATTTTTCGCTTCTTCAGTTCTTCGATTTGCTATTTTGCGATTTTCTACTTTGTCGATTTTGCAATTTTTCATTTTTTCAGTTTTTCGATTTTGAAATTTTTCAATTTTTCGATTTTTCAGCTTCCCGAATAAAAAAATGGAAAATTTGCAAAATTGTAAAACTGAAAAACATTTCAGGAAACAAAAAATTCAAAAATCGACAGATTAAAAATCGAGAAAGTGCAAAATCGAAAAAACGAAATATGTATTATAAAATCGACGCATTGAAAATTAAAAAAATCGGAAACTAGGATAATCAATTTATTAATTTGAGTCAGTAATTAATTTTTTGAGACACCCTGTATAAGCAAATCCCAAAATTATAAATTGAATAATAAATTACAAGTACAGACTTATCACATTTTGAACATTTTAGATAGGATTTATTCGGCAAAATTTTAAGCTGATCAATTTTTTCATAACTTTAAAACATCTGTAGGATTTCAAAGCATTTGGTTTTGCAGATTCAAAATTCATTTTATAATTTTAATTGTTTCTACAAAAATCTGGACGTTTCAGGTAAAAACTCAACAGGGAGTCATAAACTACATGTGTAATACTATGTTATTTTATACAATTCATTTTGAGTTTTCAATTTTCGGATCTTTTTTTTTCGTTTTTCAGTGTTTCGAATTTTCCGTTCCTCGATTTTCAATTTTTCGTTACTTCACCTTTGAAATTTGCAATTTATAGATTCTACAATTTTTCTATTTTTAACTTTTTCGGTTCTTCAATTTCTCGTGTTGCATTTTTTTTTTAAGTTACAGTTTTTCGATTTTTAATTTTTGGTTTCCATACTTTTTTGATTTGCAATTTTTTGAGTTTCTAGTTTAAATTTTTTAATTTTTAAATTTTGCCCTTTTGAATTTTTCGGTTTTTCAATATGTCGTTGCTTCACCTTTTGGATTGGTTCTTTCGATTATTATTTTTAGATTTCTCAATTTTTCGATATTTTGTTTTTCAGTTCAGTTTTATTTTGGATGTTTCCATTTTTCGAAGAAACACATCGAAAATACAAGATCAACATGAAAAAAATCCTGCGTTCCAATTTTTCAAAATTTCAGTTTGAATAAACTTGTTCCTTTTGTCCAAAATTCAAAAATGCAAAAATGAGAACTTGACTATTTAAAAGCTAAAATTTGAAAAGACGAAAAATTGAAAACTAAAAACACTACAAATCAAGAAATTGAAGACATGAAAATTTAAATTATCGTTTAATTCAAATCAGGAAAAATTAAAATATTTACATATTGAAAAATTCAACGAAAAATTGAAAAACCAGAAAGTTAAAAAATCGAAACATCCAAGAAACGAAAAATTGCATATCGAAGAACTGAAGGAACGAAAATTTACAATAGAAAATCTAAAAATTCAAAAAATTGAAAACTAGAAAACTTGAAAGGGAAAATTCTAAATCGAAAAAGTTAAAAATCTAAGTAACTATAAAATCGAAAAATTGAAAAATTCATGAGTTGATAAATAGAAACTTTGAAAACTTAAAACAAATTCGAAAAAATGCAAATCGAAAAATTGTAAAATTTAGCAAAAATCGGAAAATCGAGTAATTGCAAAATCCGAAAACGAAAGTATTTTTAAAAACTGAAAAAACGACGTGAAATCGATTAAAAATTAATTAGTTAAGAAAAATTTAGCTATAAAAGTTGAAAAATCCAAAAACTCGTGAAGATTTCAGTTGTAATAAATTTGTTCTTTTTGAATTAAACTAAAAATTAGAATCTGAGAAAATGAAACATTAAACAATTGAGAACTTGAAAAATTTAAAAGCTAAATTAAAAATGGAAACCTCGATTAATTGAAATATGGAAAATTTGTAAATCAAAAATCTGGGAGACCGGAAAATTTCAAATTCAAAAAATAAAAAATGGCAAAAATTGTAAAATTGAAAAATTAATGATTGAGAACTAGAAAACCTAAAATCGGAAAACTGTGAAGTCGAAAAATTGAAGAAACAAAAATTCACAAATGGAAAATTTGAAAATCAAAATGTGTATTAAAAATCGAGAAACTGGAAAATGCAAAAACCGAATAAACGATCTAGAAATTTACAAATCCAGCTAGCAATAAACCCGAAAAATTGTAAATTAAAAAATTGAAAAAATTAAATGTTGATAAATCAAAATTTAAAAAAACATAAAATACAAACCTCAAAAACTTTTAAATAGAAACATTGTACAATTAAAAAATTGCAAAATAAAAATCGAAAAACCAAAAAAGGTATAACTTTTAAAAATTCTCAGTCAACACGACGTAAGTAAACATGGCGAAAGCAACAACATTCCAATGACAACGATGTGCTTTGTGGTCATTGCCGAAATGATACATACCCTCAATTGAAAATTATAAAGTTAAAAAAAATTAAATATAAAAATTGAAGATTTAAAAACGACAACATCGTAAAACTGAAAAATTCAAAACTTCAATAACCAAAAATTGAAGAAGCCAAATGTTGAAAATACAAAAAACTGCAAATCAAAATATGTATTGAAAAACGACAAACTGAAAAATTAAAAAAAAAAAGTTCGACTAGCACCTTTTTGAGTTTTCAATTTTCGGATCTTTTTTTTTCGTTTTTTCAGTGTTTAGAATTTTCCGTTCCCCGATTTTTAATTTTTCGTTTCTCCATTATTTTGATTTGCAATTTTTTGAGTTCCCAATTTAATTTTTCGATTTTTTAGTTTTTCGTGACTTCACCTTTGAGATTTTCAATTTCTAGATTTCACAATTTTTCTATTTTTAACTTTTTCGGTTCTTCAATTTCTCGTGTTGCAATTTTTTGAATTTCAAATTTAAAATTTTGTTTTTCGAATTTTTCGGTTTTTCAATATTTCGTTGCTTCACCTTTTAGACTGGTTTTTTCGATTATGTATTATTTTTAAATTTCTAAATTTTTCGATATTTTGTTTTTCAGTACATTTTTATTTTGGATGTTTTCATTTTTCGAAGAAACGCATCGAAAATGAAAAAAAATCCTGCGTTACAATTTTTCAAAATTTTAGTTTGAATAAACTTGTCCAAAATTTAAAAATGCAAAAGCGAGAACTTGATTACTTAAAAGCTAAAATATGAAAACTAAAAAACCTGCAAATCAAAAAATTGTAGACATGAAAATTTAAATTATCGTTTAATTCAAACCAAGG